TAAGATACAGCCTTTTAATGAGGGAACTATTTCTTCTCCAGAACTTCTTAAAAGGTACATCACCCCCGCAACCCCGGCTGTATTTGGAAGATCCGCTCTCCTGTCAAAAACGTGTTCTGGCTCCATTTTGGACGGTGATTTCTAGCCCTCAAATACAATTCAAACACCCGTAACTCTCAAACCAACCGTCCGATTTCGACCAAAGTGTACCTGTACAAGTGGGGTATTAGTGTCGATTATAACTACTGATTGCAGTAATGTATCTCCAAAGACAAGCAGTGAAATGATTCATACTAACTAAAACTATTACAACTTTCATCAAATATGTGACAGACTCAATAGGCTAGATAGAACTAAAGCCGAGGAGCCTACATCGTTGATTGCAACTATATTTATTTGTCAAGTCTGTCAAAATTGTAATGTATGAACCCACATTGTCAAATCTTTGAATTTAAAGAAATATAGATTTTCTGAAATTAATACCATTAGCTTTGTATCTGAAATATGCATTTAATGCCAAATAGAAACTTAATATGTTACCATCACCACGTGCAACTAGACCAAACTGTTATTGTACTATGGGCCTCAGATCAGATCACGTCAGAATAAAATCGATCTATCATCCGACCATACTGTTGATAGAAATCTCATGAATAATACTGTGCAATATCGTCATTATCAAAACACCTCACAGACGCATATTCCAGTAAAGATGTCTTCAGAAACGTGAAACTGCGTCTAATTTATAGATGAACACGATTTCCTCGAGACTCATTAATCAGACGAACCTCCATTAGGTCAATTCACAAGTGACTACAGAAAATAAATAATTCCTTTCAATGACTTCAAGAACGGAAAACGTGTTTTATATTCCATAAGTGTTTTATGGAACGCTGCAGCGATTCGATTGAGAAATACTATTGTGACATTGTATTCCTTATATCAGTATATAACATTAACTTTGAGGTATTGTTATACAGTAAGATAAAATTTCCAAACATGATCGTGCTGGTGTAATATGACAAGAGATGTGTTCCTTGTGACCAATACGATCACGCTGTGCCGGTTAGTTTGTTTGTTGTTTAACGCCGAACTCAGCAATATTCCAGCTATATGGCGGCACTCTGTAAATAATCGACTCTGGACCGGACGATCCAGTGATCAACAGCAGGAGAATTGCCCTACAATGACACAATATGGATACAATGACATGTGTCAACCAAGTCGGCAAGCCTGACCACCCGATGCACAAGCATTGGTTGCTGAAGATCAATTTTAACCCGGATACAACTATTGCTATTTACCAATTCAGAAATATTCATCAAAGGGGATATTATTTGTCATTTAACCTAATATTCTCACAATTAAAAGCGTTAAACCCATAATGAGTAAGTGAGTTAATATTTAACGTCACATCGGCAATATTTCAGCCATATGGTTTCGAGAACATATTTGACATTGAAATGGGATATATGTGTATTATAATAACCTGTCGACGAAGGACAGTAAAACAACTAGAATATCACAATTAGAATTAAAACTAGCGTGGAAAGTTAAAACCAATGGCACTATTTGGACAATACAATATAAAAACAGGCTATAGATCGCCAACAACTGAAGGTAGATCACCATACTAGGGACCATGGGGACTTACAGTACTTTTGCTACCTGCATTGACCCTAGTTGGATTTACACCATCCCTTCAGCCCTTGGCGATAGTAGGAAAATTTAGCCAAAATTAAAATCACAAAAATACTACGTTTAAAAAATCCCGGTAAATTTACTTTTGATTTGCTAGTACTTCAGTCGTGTTTTGGTAGAACCAACTTTATGGTTTAAGTGTATTATTATATGTTCTTGGTTCTTTTCTAGTTTTCCCATGGTCCCTAGTCTGGTCATCTACCTTCAGTTGCTGGCGACCTATAGCCTGTCTTTATATTGTATTGTCTTCGTAAATATAATACTTTTAGATTTCCATGCTAGTTTTAGACACCATCTGTGACACTTTAGTTATTTTAGAGTCCTCCGATGACTGATTATTTAACAGCATATATTTATTGTGTATGCAAAACCTTAAATTTTAACTCACTCACTCACCTCTTTTCTTGTGTCTATCATCATTCAGGCTTTGACAGTCTACGCGTATAACGGAAACTTTTGTGTGGAAGGTCACAAGAGGTGTGATTAGTAAGCGGTATAACGTCTCAAATAACGTTATACTATTATTCTGAAAACATTTTATTGAGGAGAAATAAATGGATGAGGCACAAGTGCCACAAAAACGAGGTCTTCTCCAATATACAACTTCTCAAAATGTGATGAGTAAATAATGACAGTGTAGAATATATTTCCAGTGCTGAGAGAGAACATAAAATTAACTCATAACAGACACACAGACAGGCACACAGACAGACACAATGTATATTATGCTAGTGTTTTCCAAGAGAAGATGGTGTCCCCCGCCGTGATGGTGCTGGAATATTGCTAAAAGCGGCGTAAAACCAAACTCAGTCAGTCAGCCAAGAGAAGACTTATATAGAAACTGACAATGGGTACTAAGACAATAAGTTTATGACGTGGCTTCCATTTTAACATCCTTTGATCTCTGTCCACAGAACTGCAGGTACGTCAGATGTACAGTGCTCGTATCCCGAGCATTCATGAACGGGTAAATGTTCGTCGACTAATAGCAGATACAACGTAATCAAATTAATATATGACTAAACAGAATATTGGTGTATCCTGTTTTGGTAGACAGGACAATATGATTATGTATATTTATCAGTGTTGCTTGAAATCATTAGGATGCGGTCGAAGCATATGCCAAAAATGGGCCAAAAGGGAAGAAACTGTGGAATGTCTTTCATGTTGGGTCAAGTCAGTACGTGATGTTGTCATTTGACTGACTGACTGAGTTTAGTTTTACGCCGCTTTTAGCAATATTCCAGCAATATCACGGCGGGGGACACCAGAAATGGGCTTACCACATTGTGCCCATGTGGGGAATCGAACCCGGGCCTTCGGCGTGACGAGCCAACGCTTTAACCACTAGGCTACCCCACCGCCCCTGTTGTCATTTGAAAAAGAGGAAACCGAATTGGAATAAACCCACTCTGTCCCAGCCAGTTCTCATCCAATGTCTGACTGCCCTGCATGAAAAGGTAGTAGTTATTCCCACTGACTAGGCCTCAAATAACATAACCATTATATGTAAACATCATTACATGAATAATTTGATCAAAGAGCTTGGTATACGTGACATATCAAATAATACCACATAAAAGGCCAGTATGATAACTGAGGAAGAAATCTGCCTAAACCATTCAACAGTACTATCAACGTTCGGCTTGACTCTAAAACCTGAAGACAATGTCCATTCCTCTTTTCTACTGGATTCCCAAAGTACATAAAAATCCGCACAAGGAGATTTATTGCTGGTCTCAGCAAATGTACCAGCAAATTAAATATTTTATTTATACAGAATAATATGTAATTATGATTAACATTTTGATGAACTATTATGAAGTTTGAAGGTCATTTATGAAACACTTTTGTACGTATTGCTACGAGGGTCCATATTTGGAGATCGTGAAGACACTTTCATATTTTCAGCAGTTTGCCGACTGCATAAAGATACTGAATTGGATCTATTGTTTCATCGGCAAATTGACCTTTTGAGTCTATGGGAGCAGGGGAAGGTCGTCATTCCTTTCCTGGCATGGTTCCAGAGGTCAGGACGTGCTGTGAACGTTCCGTCTATGTAGATAACGGTTGCGGATCGAAGCACTCGCAGCTGTTCATCAGGTAAGACATTTACCTGAGTAGGTTAATTGATTTATGTTTAAAAGATTCATTAAGCTACCTCCACCAGATTGAGTCTCATAGCTAATCCCTAATTAGCTAGGGTTAATCCATTCTGCCTCATGGGGGAGTATGGTGTGTTTTCTTTGTTAATTACCTACTCCACTGTCTCACAACTGGTAGTTCTCATAAACGGGAGTAGTAGGGTGCTAAGTCTATAGCTTGATTAGCTCGTCGTAGGCCGATGGTATGTAGTACTCTTGGTCTTTTTATATCAAAGCTATATACGCAAGGGATGATGTCGACAGACCAGACCAGACCAGAGCAAGGGCCCAATGAATCGGCTGCCTTGGACATTTCCCATTTCACATCAAATTAAGATATCAAATCCTACAGCACGAAGCATCCTAAATGCCAGTCATAATTTCAAAATTATGTTTTGGAATATGGTTAAAAGGAAAGGTTCCAAAACCGATGTTTACTATCTTAAGGCAGACGACACATTGGTGACAGAACCTTCGGATACAGCAAACAACCTCACTATCGTATGTACCCCCGAAGGTCCGGGTTAGAATATTGGCCTTCAGTAACCCATGCTTGTCGTAACAAGATAGCAAGATACAAGATAACAACAATATTTCATAAATGCATTAAATATGTGATTCAGTAATTTAGGAAGGCCTTTAAGGTCGCTTATGCTGGTAGTAGACAAGAGTAGGCACGCCGAAGACCCGGGTTCGATTCCCTACATGGGCACACTGTGTGAAGCCCAATTCTGGTGTCCTCCGCCGTGATATTGCTGGAATATTGCAAAACGCGGCGTAAAAGCCAACTCACTCACTCTTATTCTTTCCCTTTACACCAAAAGAAATTTTGTATCTGAGAATAATGAAATCCGGGTACTTTTTGTCACTGACGTTCTGTGCGGTATTTCCTGTGCGTTGTAATTTACTTCCACCGGGTCGATGTTCCTATCGAACGTCCCAGAATTTCAACGTAAAACCAAAAGCATTTTTTATTATTCTTTTATTATTATAGGATATCTATATATCGCACATATTCACGCAACTTGAACATGCTCAAGGCGCTGGTTTCTCCCCCGATCATTGGATGTCAATCTCAACGGCACATCGTATTATCAATCTCAACTCCCTGGGGATCATACAACTCTTGCAGCCACAACAACAAAGTATATGCTTGGTTGTCCTTCAATGATTCGTGGGAACATTCACTTTTGTTTTATGCCTCACAGGTTCAAGTTAAGATATTGGGTTCGACAGTCTACAGAAATATACACCAAGGGTTGATTATTTACAGCGAATTGCATTCTTACATAACTAGAACTAAAATACTTCTGCACGCGCTTAATTGTACGTACGTGTATGTGACCGGTGTCCGTACTTCTGTTCTATGGATGTGTATGTGACCGGTGTCCGTACTTCTGTTCTATGGATTTGTTCGTGACCAATGCTAATATGCATATTATTGCCAAACGGTTTAACCCAGAAGCAATAAGATAGAAACTGAATTGTAATACCAAGATTGTTTGCCTGCATTTTTCATGAATAGAACTCGAATGAGCGATAATTGAATTAACAATTATTTCAGGTCCTGTCCAAAACATCCAGATTCCCAGATAACAATAAGTACAGACCGACCTTTGTCTCACTGTGTATGAGTCACACAGACATACATGTACCATCAATATGTGAAGACCACAGTGCGTTGTAGAAGGGCAGTGTGCAGGCGAGTGGCAAGTCAGTTTTTTCGCACCCAAAAGGTTGCAAAGCTTTGTATTTAGAGAGTATTGAGTGCTTGTACAACCCTTTCAGCAACAATCATGTGTAAGGCTTTTATATAATGGTAGCTACCCCTATGGTGTACCAAGCACTGGCCATGTGCAATGGTTGGTTTTCGGTAAGGTGTTTATTTATGATGGATTCGAAACACGACTTGTGCTCTATTTGTGGGACAACAGTCTTAGTTTATTAGACGGTCTGCTACCAAAACACTTTAATCTTTGTTTTCACAAAATCTACTTTTTCCAGAAGGTCATTGCCGGCTGGCCATTGAGCCATGTTCGACGCCGACGCATTGGTATCGAACTTCTTGTGGAGATTTGTCTGAGGGCAGTCGTTCGCGTACCACCACCCTGCCCCACCGCTTACAGCACATCCCGAGGGGTCGGGGTGGTCCCACGTGGCGAACCTCTGACCATTGATGTGCTTGTCCCCTTCGCCGTACCCAAACCCATTCCCCGAGGCTTTAGAGACATGCTTATGGTTACCAGTGTAGGTTAGAGTGTACCCACTGGCTTCATCGCCAATCTTGAAATAAGTGTAGTAGTGTTGTCCGTTTAGTGCACCAGTTCCACGCACGGTCATATCGAAATCTGCTCTTCGTTGGTTTGAGATGAAGTGAAGAGCTTCAAGTCCGAGCCATCTGTTGCATGGCGTGATCCATCCAGTCTTGTATTCAGCCCATGTCTTGTTGTAGTCGTTCTGGCAGTCAGATCGTCGTTCTTCGACCACCGTCCACCCTGTGTGGCCAAGATAACATTCTACCTCGTACTCCCTCGGAGCATTCAGTGGCCGGATACTGATAATTCGAAAGTCGGATGATCCCCCTCGCATTCCACCTTCGTAGGCCTCGGAACAGTCTGAAAAATTGAAATACAACAGGTGACATTGTTCAACCTATTAAATTAAACTTGATGTTCAGCTGAACAAAAGTGAGATGACACTTGGGACTTTGTGAACTTGAAGGTCTTGCTGAGTGACTCACCCCTGTATCGCCTCTCACAGTAGGGTCCCGTGAAGTCATCATAACAGTCACATCTGGACACGGCGTCGTTGTATGTTCCTCCGTGTTGGCACACATTCACCTGAAACGAAATCAGTAAATGATTTCAAAGACGCCACATGAAACATTCTATTGGAACTTGCAAGCTATTTCTCTTGAAATTACTCTTCATGGAACATGTAGTTCGCCAAGCAGAGTGGTAGTCCCTACAAGTGTCAGGATTTGCATCTTATAGGTTCACTGTACCTAAGGTGATGCTGGTAACGCACGCGTTACCAGCATCCCAACATGGCGGCAGGTAAGATCGCTTGATTTTAAAAATGCTTCTTCTTCAACACATAGGCATTAATAAGCAAATTCAGTGCATTGAATGTATTTCCACCATCAAAGTTTATCAGTGTGCTAAATAATGTTGATTGTATACACGTGGAAGGCTGTTAATTCGAGGGGAATAATCGCCAAGCGATCTTACCTGCCGCCATCGAGGTTGGCATCATTAATTCCTGTTGATTATGACTCGTGGTTTTTCAACGCTATACCCAGGTCGTTGTTTTTCACCAAACTGATATATAAAACCTGTATGATTTTGGAATACCTTCTGATGTTCACTTTAGATAACCAGGTGAACAAACGATAGCATTATTTTCAGGAACACTCATTAACGTGTTTTAAATGAATTATGAAGGGTCGAGAGAATCATCTATAATATCAGCCAATCCTTGACCCTTGTGATATAATGAATACATTTGGGTCTGGTATGTTGATAACATCTACGCTATCCTCTCCTGTCTTTTTACTTTACGGTCTTTTATCTTGACATTCATCTGATCTTACCTTAGCTTAACCTGATTTACTTTACTTTCACCTGTGGTTTGACTTTACTGTCACCGTTGTTCTCACCTTAGTAGGGCGTTAGGGTAACCTAGTGGTTAAAGCGTTTGCTCTTCTCGCAGAAGACCCGCGTTCGATTCCCAACAGGGGTACAATGTGCGAAGCCAATTTCTGGTGTCTGCCGCCGTGATATTGCTGGAATATTGCCGAAAAGGCCGTAAAATCCAACTTACACACTCTAACTATGCTTTTACACGCATTCTCATTCTCACCTGTATGTTCTTTTATTCTCATGTGTTCTCCGATTACTTTCACTTTATTATCTATATGGTGAAACATAACCAGTGACATATATAGAGAATACTACACCAGGTCTCATTACATACGAATGATACGAAACGAGTGTCCTTCCTATGGTGTCTGACCGAGCGAAAGGTCAGATACCATAGGAAGGACACTCGTTTCGTATCATTCGTATGTAATGAGGCCGAGTGTGGTATTTTATTTATTACCCGCCTCTTACATGCATTAAATTGACAAAATAGCGTATTTTTGTTATTCTTATAGGCCCGGTTGTTCAATACTCGGTTATCTTAACCGCCGGTTAACTCCTAACGGCCTGTTAAATCCTTAACCGGCCGTTAGGTAACCGAACGTTAAATATGCGTTGTTCAAAACATGGTTAGTCATGCCGTTAGCTAACGTTGCCGTCAAAGTTTAATAGTGTGGTTAACGTCACTGGTTAGCTTCCATATATCCCACAATTCCGTTTTCTGTTTACTTCCGGATTACCAAAATGGAATCGCGAAATGTCGCCTGCACCCCAAGGAAAAAGAAAAGTCGAAATTTCTCTGCTGACGATGAGAAAGTAATCAAGTCAATGGTTGAGACCAACTCTATAGTTTATCATAGGCATGCGAATGTCGTAGCGCTACGAACGCTTGTATTGCAACACAAGGTTCTAGACGTTTGCATATATATTTCAAAGACATATGATCCCAGCTCTGTGTGGGACTTACTTCAATTCCGACAACAGAAAAGACATTTTCATGAGACACTATAGCACAGCTACAGATAAAATATGATGAATCCATAAAAATACATGTAATATTAATAGTAGAAGCATGTTTTCAGTGGATAGAATATTTACAAATATTACACACAGGAGTTACCCTTATACGGCTACAGTCTTAATGAATCTTTGAATTCCCACAAGACCTATCGCTCACTTTTCACTCCTTAAATTGTCATGACTGTATGGCCAAGTCATTAAGATGCTATCAATATCATTTATTAATTATTTGCCAAGTCTGTCAAAAATTGTAATGTATGAACACACATTGCCAAATCTTTTAACATCAAACAATACAGATGTTGTGAAATTAATACCATTAGCTTTTATCTGAAATAGGCATTCAATGCCAATAGAAACTTAATATGTTACTAGCACCACGTGCAAGTAATCAAACTGTAATTGTACTATAGGCCTCAGGGCCAACACTGCTGAATAAAATCGATCGATTATTCGACCTTACTGTTGACAGGAATCTCATGAATAAAACTGTGCAATATCGTCATTATCTGAACGCCTTCACAGACGCATATTCCGGAAAGATGTCTTGAAAAACATGAAGCTGCGTCTAATTTATAGATGAACATAATTTCCTCGATACTCATTAATCAGATGAACCTTCAATTCACAAGTGACTGCAGAAAATGCATAATTCTTTTTAATGACTTCAAGGTCGGAAAACATGTATCACATTTCATAAGTGTATTATAGAACGCTGCAACGGTTCGGCAGAGAAATACTATTGTGCCATTGTATTCCTTATATAAAATTCATCAGTGTATAACAATAGCATTCAGATATTGTTATAAAATAAGTTTAAAATTCCAAACATTATCGTGTAAAATGACAAGAGATAGCGTTGTGTTCGCTGTGACAAAAGGTTTCGATATTCAAATATAACATTTAATCAAAGTGACTACGAAGTAGGCCTGCATATCACTCACAACAGAAATAGATACATAACAATGTTTTGTATATTTTCCTACACATCAGTTGCGAGAGCAATGTTTATGCTAATAAAGTTTTCGTCAATTTATATAGCATTTTTAAAAGATGATTTGCTTCAATTAAAAAATTCGAAGAATGATAAAGAAATTAGGCCTATTGCTGAAATGATTAGTAAAAATATATTTTAAATCCATCTATGGGAAGGGATGCCAGACGGACATATCAAACCAAAATCGGATAATTACTCGGAATATTGACTTTCAAAAATAGCATATTAATTATCAATGATATCAGTTTTTCATAAAATCACTACTAATTCTGAAACGTTGCCGATAAACCTGGAATCGTGTTCAGATGTTTTCAGAAATACACTCACACGAACGCCCAAGTGCACTTTGCGCCCTATTGGATAGTGTTTACAAAATCACGTTTCGCGAAGGCCGGTATTGAGACGCCAATTACATCACTTATATTTCATATTAAGCGGCGACAAATGCATCACTGAATTCTAAGGCTGGGACGGGTACTCGGGTACTCGAATCCGGGTCGGGTACAGCTGGAATCGAGTCCTATTTCTAGGAATCGAGTACCCGTAAAGGGAGAGAGTTTTGTAATGACAATGGCAGACAATAGCTTGTCTTTTTCGTTTTTGACGTAACAAGCATTTACATCATTGAGTGAGTGAGTGAGTGAGTGAGTGAGTTTAGTTTTACGCCGCACTCAGCAATATTCCAGCTATATGGCGGCGGTCTGTAAATAATCAAGTCTGGACGAGACAATCCAGTGATCAACATCATGAGCATCGATGTGTGCAATTCTGATACGATGACATGTGTCAACCAAGGCAGCGAGTCTGACCACCCGATCCCGATTACGACAAGCATGGGTTACTGAAGATCAATATTCTAACCCGGAAATTCACGGGTTTTTACATCATTGGAATTGTCCGATTAATGGAGCATAGTTTTAATGACCGTAATTTATCTGTGCATGTGCAGTGAGTAGTTAAGTTACAGTAGCAGCAGGAAGGAAACGTTCGTTGTTATAACGAGGAGTGTAAGTAATGGTGTTACTCTCTATATTGGTTAAATAGACGTAAATTAAATAGCTTGAGATCAGTTTTAATGTCTTATTACCACTTTTTCAAGATTTCTATAATACTCTCTGTTAAATCGTGATTGAATATTCAGAGGTTGACCCGAATGTATTTCTTACATTTCCGGGTACTCGATTCCGATTCGGGTAAGTACATGTGGGTACTCGATTCCATTTTTTCCTACTCGTCTCAGCCCTACTGAATTCCTCATACATTTTAGAATCTAATTACAACTGGTCTTTGTCACCAATACCAAGTGTCTAGATAAACTGAAACGAAAGATATTGGGGGTGGAAACAAATACGAAAGACAACACTTGTTTGAAATGTAAACAAAGAAAATTTTCAGACACCCATTTGCATGGAAAGAGCATAGTAGCAAGAAATAGGAAATTAAAAATAGATACAATACAGGAATGTGATGTGTGTATACGAAACTGTCAAGTTTCTGTGCAGCGTAACGCCATGACTGACGCAAAATCACGCAGAACGACAACGGTAATAATCGGCATTTCTGGCCGCTTCTTCTCTTTCTTAAAATGAAAACGATAAAAACATGTAACAATACACAGATAGTCAGAATCATTCTGATTACTTACATGTCATATTTATGTACAAACGATCCCTGCATCAAGGGAAGGGTCCTCGCAAAACCAATGTCAGCCGTCATTTTAAAAAAACCCTCAACGGTAGTGATGTCATACGTCAACATTGTTGTACATATTTGGCAATTTCTCTGAGGTGAAGGTCGGTAGAATAAGAGTATACACAATCACCATATCCCGCCGATTACACTTTCAGTATCATAATGTAATCGTTCGGATATTCTTTCATGAAACTAATTTAATTATCTACATTAAGTCTTGTTCAATATCATATCATACGTGGGTATAGGGTGTACGTGTTTGATTCTTTGAAAGTGTTTGTTTGAATAATATTTACAGAAGAAACTCACACATTTAGTGTAGTAAAACATATATAAACCTTTACACAAGTGTTAAAAGATGAAACTTAGGCATCATGTTCTTGTACAACATGTATTTTAGTTCCTATGAAGTGCATAGTTACAGTTTCGTATGTAACTCTTCGTCAGAATAATTCCAATATCGAAGTCCAGTCCACGATACACCCTATCCTTTCTTTGCTGAACTGGCATCATGAAAGCAGTGTTAGCCATGAACACCATTTGCAAGTTAACCACACTGTTAAAAAGTTAGCGGCGGTCCTTAAGTGTGTTAACTTTACGTCACGTTAACAACCTGTTTAAAGTTAACAGAGTTTTGAACAACAAGATAACCCTCTGTTATTAGTTAACGGTCGGTTAAATGTACTTAACGGCTGGTTAAAAGATAACCGAGTTTTGAACAACCGGGCCATGGTTTCAAACCGAAACTGGTTTCATAAAGAGGTTGCGGAAGAATATTGTTCTGTAGTACACATTTTACATGACGTCACACTTTAATGACGTCACTACGCCTTGCTCGTCTGCCTCATTGGTAACCGACGTCACGATGCATGTCAGTTGTCATCGCCTCGTACAGCCTCCTACATTAAACTACTCCGTAGCACCCCGTTTCGTAGTTTGCAGTTGCTTCAATCGGCTAACATCACTGGTCGAAACTTTGCGTTTATGTTTTTCGACGCATATAATGTCTCAGTTCGGCTCACAATTAAACAGCGATACGGCAACGTTCGCAATGTTTACATTCCCACAATGCATATAAGTTGTAGAATGAATGAATTCACGTGTTTGTTATGAATGAAAAGTAGTTCCGTCACAACGTCACCTAACTGAGGGGTCATCGGTTTTCCAGTCAAATTGTTAGAATCACAGGTCAAGTCGTTACGACACAGGTCAACGCGATACGGCACTCTTGTGACGTACGACATTAGTATGCAACTTCCCATACGTTGACCACGTGGGTAATAAATATCATATGTGCACATGTCACTTTTGCTTAGCAGCCATTGTTTCTCTATTTCGTCGTCTGTGCCATCACTTAAATAATTGAACGTGACGTCAATGAACAGGACAGTCACACTTGCTTGCCGTATTTTACTGCAAAAATGTACATTAATAAAATGGATAATAAAGAAATTATTACACTCGCAATTGTGCCACACGACTTATACGAAACTCGTGCAAAAGTGTGTGTTGCACTCGCTCTCGCTCGGGCAATACAAAATTTCACACTCGTTTCGTATAAGTCGTATGACACACTTGCTCGTGTAATAATCTCCATTTATTTGCACCTGTCATTCTCACTTTACCTACATCTGAATTTCGACATTATCTGTGTCCTCGCTTGACCTATGCCATCACGTAATTTCGCACTTTACTGTCACCCGTCTTTCATAGGCTGAAGGGATGGTGTAAATCCAGCTAGGGCCCATGCAGGTAGCAAAAGTAATGTAAGTCCCCATGGTTCCTAGTATGGTGATCTACCTTCAGTTGTTGGCAATCTATAGCCGGTGTTTTATATGTATTGTTATTCTTCTTTATTTAAAATCTTTTAGTTTGACATGCTAGTTTTATGTTCATATATGTGATATTCTAGTATTTTTACTGTCCATCGTCGACAGGTTTTACTCTCCAAAATGTTTTCATTTTTCATTGTATAAATTGTTTTCGTCACGATATGGCTGAGATATTGCCGATGTGACGTTAAATATTAACTCACTCACTCTTTCGATTCATATGAACAAACAGATTTCAGTTTTACCTTCACATATTTTCACTTTATGCTCACATCTGTTCTCACTTTTATTTTACCTGATTTTTATCTTTACTTTCACCTGTTAACTTCACTTTAACTTTAACGGTGTCCTCACTTTTGTTTGCTCGCTTTACCTTCACCTGTATTACCACTTCACATAAGCGTGACTCATTTCTCACCTTACTTGAACCCTTGTTCTTATCACTGTTGTTTCACATGTACATATATAGATATGTTTCCTAGTCTTTCATTCACCTGATTAGGGCTCTCACGAGTCCAAAATTTGGGACTCGCGTACTCGAAGTGTCAGACCCGACTCGGACCCGAGTGATTAATGTTCATGAGCTGGGCCGGTGATACCTTATTGATTTAAACATATTTTTATTCATGAAGATGAATTGGGATTGGTGAACAAGCATCACTGCTTATATTAACACCTCTCCCATGCAACATATAATACAACATGAAAATGGAGGATTTGACGTCATCGATACTGACCATTGCATAAACATAATATTTTTAGAATGTATAAATATATACAGATTACATGAAATACAACAATTCTCTAAGTAGTCATAAGTTAGAGAGTTACAGTTGTGTGTGTCTCACAAGCCATTGTAGAACTATAAATCCATCATGAGAAGGTTGTTGAGTAAATTTAATTATTTTCCTGAGAAAATTTTAAGCGTTGCGTCTTGGTTATATAATCGTGGACGGATTCAACTATTTTCAGGTTTACACATGGAGTAAGTTCTTTGTTTCCCTTAAGAATGGTATCCAGGTTATAACCGGTAGTGTAAAAATACATATTATGTCTTATCCGAGTATAGTTACGGCAAGTGAGGAAATAGTGTAGCGCGTTTTCACTCTGATGTCCAAAAGAACAACAAGGGCTGTCTATTAAATGTCTGTTATACTTATCGGCGTTTAGGTCGCTACATCCGAGCCTGAGGCGGCAGTGAACGATTTGGCAAAAACGAGTGCCATAATTAAGGTCAAAGTTTGTTATGACTTGTGCCGCGAACGGCACCACATATAGTTCTCAGAGCATCAAGATGTAAATTTTCTAATGTACGCGATTGCTCAGAAGGGTTCATTCTCACTTATCCACCACCCTTTAGTTTTGACAAGGGATTAGATGGGATTAGTTGACACGGGTTAGTGATTACACTGCTCACTCTGAAATTTGGTCCTGGTGGGTGACACTAATTAGCTGATTTGCCCTGTTACAGTGAACAGTGTTCGTGAACTTTAATTAAATTGTGTCGATTATGCTATTTGTGTTTTTTTAATTCAGTGAACACTTTTCACTATTACACGATTATAAAATGGTACATGAGGTTCTTTAAGGTCAGTCACGATGGCTAACCAACAGGTTAATGTCCAGTTTATTCCTAATGGTAGAGGTGGTCAGTACTTAGTGTTCCAAAATTACAAGTTTGTAGTTAAAAGAATAGAATCGCTGTAGATTCTTTCTTGGCCAATCTTAAGGACCTTGTCCGAAAAGATTCCAAACCAATTCCATCTCTTTATCAGGAGGAGTTATCAGGTAAATATTAACATAAATACTTGGCAACTTTTTAATTACTATTAAATACTAAAATACTACAACAGTTTTCTTTGAATTTAACATTGTGTTTCTCTGTTCTAGGTCTGAGAGTGATGAATCCTGACATCATTGCAGAAGTGCCCATCTTTGACAGTGTACGTCCTGCTCTATACCGCTCCCGAGCCAAAGACATCCCCCATCTGCCAGCAACTAGATCAGCAATAGATCTTCCCGATGCATATACTAAGACGCATGCCAATGACAACTTCCTGCTGTTTTCTCACGGCGACCATGACAAGATCCTGACCTTCGCGACTGACGAGAACCTGCGACTTCTCTCCGAAGCAGATGTGTACTACTGTGACGGAACATTTGACAAGTGCCCTGGTGTGTTCACCCAGCTTTACACCATTCATGCATTTGTGCAAAATAAGATGTGCCCTTTGGTGTATGGTCTGCTCCCCAGATAAAAAAGCAGTCGACATATGAACGTTTCTTTGAAAATGTGAAGAATGTAGCGGCCTCTAAGAACATTGTATTGGATCCAGTGAGTGTGTTCACTGATTTTGAGTCAGCTGCTCAAAACGCCACCAAGATGACTTTTCAAAATGCCATATTAAAGGGTTGCTACTTTCACTTTAGCCAGAGTGTTTGGAGAAAAGTTCAGAAGCTTGGAATGGTAACTGAATATAAGGACAACCCGGACATAGGTCGTCTTGTAAGACGAGCGATTGCTTTGCCCCTGGTACCAGTGGACTGTGTGAGTGATGTGTGGTGGCAGGCCCTGGAAGATGCACCTCCTGGGGTGGAACAGTTTACAGACTATATGACATCGTACTGGGTGGAGGGTGACCATGGCAGGACCATGTGGAACCACTTCGCCACCGAAGGCCCCCGCACTACTAATCATGTTGAGGGCTGGCACAGGAAGCTTTCCTGTTTAGAAAACCATCCCAATATCTTCAAGATTATTGAATTCTGTAAAAAAAAGAACAATCTTACGTAGAGGCATCATGTATGCAATTAAGAGGAGGTGCCAAACCTCCTCGCAAGAAAAGTTAAATATGTCAATTTAACAAACAGATTATGTAACATCAAACAGCAATTCTTGGCTGGCCATATGGATGTATATGCATATTGGGATGCAGTATCCCATTTAACAGGCTATTGAGGATTGTCATAGATATTGAATGTATTGTTAATTTTGATATTGTATGTATTGTTGAAATAAAAAAAAATGTAGAAAGACTTACTTTTTTACTACTACATTCAAGGGGGGATCTTATTTCACAGGGAACAAAATTTCAGGGACATCTATTGTCTTGAGGATTATTCCGCTTCAGTGACTTGTCCACCTAGAACAATAGGTGGTGGATAAACGAGAAGACCCCCTCAGAAGTACAGTTATCCCAAATATGCGAACAATAGTCAAATATTGGCAAGATATAGGATTTATACATAATATCCAACGTTTTACGTGATAATCGGTATTTAAAACTCCTCAGACAACTGATCATAGGGCGAACTTTACGTACAATATCATTAGTGTGATCATTCCACGTACAATCGCTTTGGAGTGTTAATCCTAAATGTTTATGACTTTTGACTTCTTTTATGATTGTTCCGTCCATGAATAGGTTCGGTTTTAGAGACGGTTTCGTTTTACGTGAGAACTGAGTAGTTTCGGTTTTATTTGGATGAAATGTAACCTGCCACTTACGGGCCCATTGTGAAATTCTATCTAGGTCTTTGTTAAGACAGGTAGCAGCAACTGATGGATCGTCTATGATAACATATAATGAGGTGTCATCCGCAAAGAGACGAATGTTACTGTCAACATCACATACAATATCATTAATGTATATAAGAAAAAGAAGTGGTCCAAGGACAGAGCCCTGCATGAGGTATTCCAGCTAGTACAGTTTTCTTGTCAGATTTAGAGCCGTTAATTGCGACCCGTTGTACTCTATTTTCTAAATAACTTTCAAACCATTGTAATAGTTCGCCTTGGATACCATGGTTTTCAGTTTATTAATAATTCCTCTATGCCAGACCTTATCAAAGGCTTTACTTATGTCGCAGAAGACTGCTCTAACATCTTTTCCTTCGTCAAGAGCTTTGGCTATATAGTTGTACAAAAAGGTTAATATATTTGTTGTGGAGTCTCCTGGCATGAATCCTGATTGTAAATTTGTCATTAAGTCGTTATCTCTCAGGCAAATTGAATACATATTTAAATACACATTTCTCAAAGACTTTCGATAAACAAGATGTGAGTGCGACAGGGCGGTAGTTAGAACGGTCATGTACGCTATCTTTCTTGTGAATAGGTATTACCGATGCTTCTTTCCATGAACTGGGAAAAATTGACAGGCTAAGGGACAAATTGAATAATTTCGTAAGTATGGATGTTAGACGTGATACCTTATTACGCCTGTAAATTCTGTAATATGATTGGATGTGTCTGGGAAAAGAAACCAATCAATCTACTTCTCTTTTCTTTTGGTTTTAAGTTTGACTGCGCTTTCAAGATTATCTAATATTAATATGTCGTTGCAGTTATGATATATTAGCAACTTTTAAACATTCACCTGGACGATAAGTCACATAATCAATTAACCTTAATCACGGTTAAAATGCGGCAAAACACGTTCCAAAGCTGGAAGATACATAGATAAAGCATTCATTGATTGGTGCTGCATTAGATACTAGTATCTTGTAAAGATGGATCGACTATGGAACTTAAAGAATATGTAAAACAGGATTGATGTTTATTTGAGACTTCTTATAGTGAAAACGGTTTGGTTTCAAACTAAAGACTAACCATTTATTGAGTAACACTACGCTGTATTTCTTCTTCCGAAACTCTGCTGAACGGAGATCACGTCAATGGTATTCATTGTGATTAAAATTTTCACTATTAAAGATATAGGTCTCCAAGTGTGAATGTTATTTTGAATGCGTATGTATGTGTTGATTGTTGAATATGTAACACTGAAATACGCTGGATAAGAACGACTGAATATCTAAATTTATGTAGAAAACAAGTTGTTCAAATAGGTATAGTGGGCAGGGACAGTGATACAGCCGTGAGTGGCTACGCTTATCCACGCGTCCGTAGTTAGGGCAACGGCAGGTACTGTTTTGGGTACTGATATTTTGTTCTCCTTGCAAACTTCATACGACTTTATGAGGTAGTTGTGAATTGTCGCAGTACATGGGACCTGGTAATTTGGGTTCAATGGTTCACAGAAAGCCCTGAAACCCTCCCCTTTAACAAGACTTAATGGTCGCTTATCCTTAACGCGCATAAGCATTGCTTTTTGCGTAATACCTTCATACCATTTCCTGTCAACAGGCTTGCGACTTTTGCTATCAAATTACCAAACTGCCACAACGTTGCTTGTTGAGCTGGTTTTCTGTCTACAGTGCTTATTGTGGGTGCTTACAGGACAAATGCTTGCGTAACTAAGGGAAACGCCACAAAGACGGCATTTCGTATTTTGGCCACTAAATCAAGATAAAAATGCGTCCAGACATTGGATGTTTTCTCACGATCATCCATCTTGATTGCATGAGATGTTTAGAGGTATCTCCCCTACGAGTCCTCGAGTCCATTCAATTGGACTCGAGTCCTGCTTTACCCGACTTGGCCCCGAGTACCCGACTACTCGTGAGAGCCCTACACCTGATGAAAGAGTAAGAATGTACTCCGAAACATCATGTCCCTAAAAATAAAGAAGCTGACATCCTTAAATTCTCGCCTTTAATTCAGCATGGTTGATAAAATCGCACATTAGGACATTCCTTCGGCCGATCTGCCTAGAAGTTTGAGGGAAGGAACTCATTAAGGTACTCACCGGCTCTAGAAAGACACACCCAGGGGCCGTCTGCAGATCGGAACACGACCCGTTTGATGTCTCAGGTAGTTTGTGACACACTTGTCTGCTCTGGGGATCATCACAGAGGTTGACGGACATGCAGCTGGAATCTCCAAGACAGTTTGCCAAACACTGACCTTGAGATTCTACTACATCAGAGTTGACAGGAGTCACCGGAAGAATGACACCTTCGGAACATCCGGACATTGCTGTGAAAAGTTTCTCACGGAACTCACTTGAACAGGAAAAATCAACAAATAATACCAAAATAACAGGCACATAGAGTCCAGCTTGAAATCTGATCTGTGCAAATGATTCCATCATTACTGACACAACCTTTTTCCTTTCAACGTTTGACGTCTTCCTTCACTACTGCGTGTGCAGTCTGGGTGATCATGAACAAGAGTTAGGAATCTGTGACAGAGATACTATTAATAACATCCAGCTAGTCACAAATATTGCTCCCACACAGGACGGACACTCGTATTTATATTGATCCAACGTTGTGGCAGATATCATACCAGACACCTATGCAACATTCATACACTGATCAATCAAATAAACAATGGATCAGAAATGGGCCCAGTCTATGGCGGTTACGTGGTTGTCTATATACTATAGCAGAGACATCATATTACCAAGACTTCAAAGAATATCACGCGACTCCTCTTCAGAAGTTATTTTATCAGAGTTACAACATTCAAAGCTTCAGTGACGCTTTCAGAAAGTCCAAGAGCAGACATGGTGCAGTGATTTCCAAATTTGACGTATCAGTGATATCATTCGATGAGTTCCGATGAAAATTCACCCAACATGCTTTTTCCGTAAAATCCGATAGAGATCCATCATTGATTGGGTTAATCGGACTGGTAGCAGCCTGATGTCTGTCTGCCATATTCATTGGCATTGTTCGACTGATCCGATTGGGGTCGAATTGTAATTCGAGGGTGACCTAACACTACTCTGACACTTCCAACACTCTCCTGACACCGATCCGACAAATCGGTTACTATTCATAGGAAAATCGGACACTGACCCAATACTGGTCGGACTTGTCGCCAAAATCGGCAGTCGAGTATAAAAGCGGCCTGCACCTCCTGACGGTACTAGTCATGGCTCAGCTTCCTCGGAAGGCTGCAGCCCTGGGCTTTGTTTTCATGCTGCAGCAACAAACTATAGACCAAGATGCAATGACCCTTGAGGTCCTGAGAAGAAGGCACAGAAGACCACGTCGTTATTGGGTTCGACCATGGCTGCAAGCTGATAGAAGGCTGTAATATGGGCACTACACCAGAGTCATGAATGAACTGAGGATGGAGGATACAACGGCATTCTTCAATTTCTTGAGAGTTACGCTAGAATGTTTTGATGAACTACTCCAGAGACTGGCACCAAGCCCTTGAACCTGGTCTCAAGTTAGCCTGCACCCTAGAGAACCTAGCATCGGTATCCAACACTATCATACAGGATTCCCCCCACCTGAACCAAGGACAACCAGAACATGCTATACTTCATGATTGGGGATGACGCCTTTGCTTTGCGCACCCACTTGATGAAGCCCTACTGGAGAAAGAACTTTACTCGTACTGAGCGGATATATAACCATCACATAAGTAGAGCCCGAAAATGTTTCCGAATTGAAGACTTTGCTTTAAAGTTTGGAACTCGAGAAAAAGCGTCTGCAGCGGCATCCGCCATTTTGGTGTTTTTATCCTTACAACGAGTGCCGGTACCAATCTATTCATTTATTTATATGGTTTAAAAGTCACGCAAATGCAATAATATGACCAATAAACATTCTCAAAACTATTAATGTATAATAATATAAAGGAAATACAAATGTTATTAGTAGTTTTGACTACATCACGAAAATTACCGATCGTATCGGGTGAACCTGTTCACCGCAATATATCGCATTGTGAAGTTCGAATTGCAATATACCAGTATTATCGCCCACCCCTACTGATCATAGACTGTTTTGTTGCTTGAGATTGTTGAGGCGTGCTGAGAGCTACTTTGCCTTCTGTCCTCGGACATTTCTGTTCTTTCTTGGACCCATCTTCAGGATCTCGGTGGTGTAGTGTCTGATGAAAATCTGTGGAGTGAGTGTCGGATGACCCTCCTTTTGTAGTCCGCTGGCCTTCAGATGTCATCTCTGGCTTCACCATATGTGTCGGATGGCATTTGAGTTAATGTGCGATTACACTCCGATGTCACAACGGAAAGCAATCGGACAGTGCTAAATATACCCTCCAATGAGAATCGAATTGGTGATGGGCGACTATCAGGCGCGTCTGGCAGAGCGCAGGCTGCAATCAGATGAACGTCGGATGACTCTTCATCATCAGACACCTATCAGATTGCCGTGAGACGTCGATTAGACACGTCCGATAGCTGCACAACACGAATCTAGCACACATTAAACTGACTCGACATTCATCCAACACTGGCTCGATTTGCGACTAGAAATAGCGTCCTCTGGTGGACATCGGATAACGCTGAAAACTGACTTGATAGTCAACAAACACAAATCGGATTCATTGGACTGTGATATGATACTTTTACGTCCATGACCAAATATCTAGCAAATTCAGCGCCTGAGAGAATCAGTAAAACATAAAATAGAAATTTGGTTCAGGTCTGATCTCAAACAGGTTGCTTGACAAAAACAAACATTAGTTTATTATTGACAGCCTTTCAGTTATCAAATTAATCAGGAGATTGGTATTGCACAAGATATAATGGGAGGCGGAGGACTTTATTCAAACGTCATTTTTCCCTCGGACATTTCACGTGTCGTTTGTTTTCCTATACAACGTTATGTGTGGGTTTCCAATGTTCAATAGATATTAATTCTTACCGTTCACAATATAACATTAAATCAAGTATCAAATCTTCCCTAAAGAACTTCCTTAATGCCAGTCTTGGCAAACCCATATTTCCAAAAGTATGTCCAATGTTTGGATTATATTTAAAACTTAAAAGGAAAGGTTATAAATGTAGTGTTAACTTTCTTAAAGCAGGTGACACACGACGGACAGAACCTTCTGATACAGCAAACAACCTGGCTATCGTATGAACCATTACTTAACCTTATCAATAGCTGAACATTCTTTCTTATCAAATCAAACACCCCTTTGCAGTAACAAGCAGGCATACAGGGCATTGCAGGAGACGTCCAAATAATTACACGCTTACGGACAGGTGCACGTTTAGTTTAAAGCAATACTGACTGACTGACTGAGTTTGGTTTTACGCCGCTTTTAGCAATCTTCCAGCAATATCACGGCGGGGGACACCAGAAATGGGCTTCACTCATTGTACCCATGTGGGGATTCGAACCCGGGTCTTCGGCCAGACGAACCAACGCTTTAACCACTAGGCTACCCCACCGCCCCTTTAATGCAATAAGAGACGACGGGCAACCAACCTTCAACGACAACACTACACTACAGACAAACACCTGTGTTTTCTTTTTCAATTCCAAACACTGGTAACTGTACTCGATATTCCAAATCCGGAGGTGATTCAAAGGCCAAACGTATAGTCATGGTGTGACTACTTGCACATTGTCTGTTGTGGGCGAAGACACATACAACTGGAGATTGCATCAGTAATGTATTCAATACACCCTTCGCAAAGGTGATCACCCGTGTTTTTATAAAGAGTATTGGGGTAGCCTAGTGGTTGAAGCGTTCGCTCGTCACGCCAAAGACCCGGGTTCGATTCCCCACATGTGTACAATGTCCATTGCTGGTGTCCCCCGCCGTGATATTGCTGGAATATTGCTAAAAGCTGCGTAAGACCAAACTCACTCACTTACAAACAAGTTGCACTTGCAGAACCATGGAAAACATGATCAATAATCAGTTATGCATACTATCGAATGGCAAATGTTATTATGTCTAAATAGTGAAGGTTTAACATACACAGTAAACAGAAGTTATTAAATAGCCAGTCATCGAAGGACTGTAAAATTACTAGACTATCACAGATGGTATTTAAAACTAGTATGTAAATCTGAAGCTATTTTATTTATAAAGACAATACAAAAAACAAAACAAAACAACATGAACAGGCTATACGTAGATAGGGACCATACTAGGGACCATGGGGGCTTACAGTGCCTTTGCTACCTGCATGGACCCAAGCTGGACGTACACCATCCCTTCAGCTGCTGGCGATGGTGGGAAAATGTAGCGATAATTTATAACACCAAATATTCTACGATTAAAAAGCATGGTTGTGCTAAATTGATTTTTAAAATTTGGGGACTTACGTATCCTCAGGATTTTACGATAACGTTACCCCCCTTTGAGGATACAACCACTAACAATCGCAGTTGCTAGTTTATACTAGCATTTATTAAATAACATTTATCTATGTACAAAACATATTGTTCAAAATATATCGAATAATTCTATTTCTTTTAAATAAACAATTATTAAATAATAATTTACACTATAAAAATAGATCCTTTATTTTTTTTACATCCCCTGTGAGTGAAAAATCAATACAGTCAAACATGACATGCTTGACTGTGATTCTTTCATTACATGGGATAGAAAACAGAGGATACTGACCTTTTAACAGTTATTCATGAGTATATGTAGTATGGTGAATACGACATCTGACCATTTAACCATATGACCTCTTCAAATCTGGACTGACAGCCCAGGTAGGTGTAACCGATATAGGGTTTTATTGCACGTAATGTATTTATACATACTTGGGTGTCCCACTTCTGCATCAGATCACAGATGTACGATCTGATGATAGCTTTGTAATAAGAGTTATGTCAAAATAACATTCATAAATGGATATATTCTCAAAAAGCAAATTTCATTTATTTTTGCAGAAAATTGAAACCACAATTGATGGTGGAGCTCTTAAAAGTAATACAGAAATGTTACATTCTGTTCATCATCAGGCCTCAGAACGTCATCAGTTAACAGTTTATATGTGGAGGATGATAAAACGAGTCTTCATCACCATAGATCCGTAGATCCATAGATTTATTCAGGATATGGATGCACACATATGATAAATTTACAGAAACAAAAAGGAGTAAAAAGTTATTTTTTCATGAAAATGCTAGAAGGCAGACATCTGTCAAAGGTTTTAACCCAGAAGCATTAAGATAGAAATTGAATTGTAATACCAAGATTGTTCCCTTTCATTTATCATCACAATAACTTGAATGGGCAATTATTTCATGTCCTGTCCAAATAGCATCACGATTCCCAGATACCAATAAGCAGCTGCATCAAGGCACAGACCGACCTCCAGCTTTCGAAGTCCACATGAAGTTAGACATACACGTACTAACAATATGTATAGGCCACAATGAATTGTGAAAGGGGAGTGTACCAATGGCCATATGCAATGGTTGGTGTGGTAAGGTACATGTACCTATTTATGAAGGATTCGAAACATGACTAGTGCTCTATTTAAGAGACACCACACAGCTTTAGTTTCTTAGACGGTCTGCTACCAAAAAACCTTAATCTTTGTTTTCACAAAATCTACTTTTTCCAGAAGGTCCAAGTCATCTATCCATTGTGCCACGTTCGAAGCTGACGCACTGGTATCGAACTTCTTGTGGAGATTTGTAAGGGGGCAGTCAGTCCCGTACCACCACCCTGCCCCACCACTTACAGCACATCCCGAGGGGTCGGGGTGGTCCCAAGTGGCGAACCTCTGACCATTGATGTGCTTGCTTGCTAATTCGTACTCAAACCCGTTTCCCGAGGCTTTAGAGACATGCTTATGGTTACCAGTGTAGGATAGAGTGTACCCACTTGCTTCATCGCCAATCTTGAAATTAGTGTAGTAGTGTTGTCCGTTTAATGAACCAGTTCCACGTACGGTCATATCGAATTTGGCTGTGCGTTGGTTTGAGATGTAGTGCAGAGCTTCAAGTCCGAGCCATCTGTTGCATGGCGTGATCCATCCAGTCTTGTATTCAGCCCATGTCTTGTTGTAATCATTCTGACAGTCAGATCGTCGTTCTTCGACCACCGTCCACCCTGTGTGGTCAAGATAACATTCCACCTCGTACTCCATCGGAGCGTTCAGTGGCCGGATACTGATGATTCGAAAGTTGGATGATCCCCCTCTCATTCCACCTCCGTAGGCTTCTGAACAGTCTGAAAAATCGAAATTACAATGGGTGACATTGTTCAGCTTGTTGAACTAAACTTGATGCTGAGCTAAACTAAAGTGATGTATACTAAGGTTAGCTAAAGTGACAAGAACAAATCTGACCTCAGATGAAGAGAGATCAGATCTTCTGGGATGATCTCTGCTAGACTCCAGCACTGACAGGAATCGGGAATGGTTAGTGAAACATAAAACACATGTGCATTGATAGCCGGGACATCTTGTGTTACCTGATTGTTTTAGGTCAGCTCTTTAGGCCACTCATTTGTTCGGACACCGCATTCACTTGTTTAGAATTGTGCATGGGTGATTGTTATTTTGGAAATTGGGAGATCTTACATTTAGCAATATTCCAGCAATATCACGGCGGGGGACACCAGAAATGTAGGACAAAAATAACTATATCGCCCCGACACAGGACAGAAACGCTGAGACGCCTGAGTCTATTCTTAGTTTCGTGAGATGACAGTTGAAACTTTGTGAACTTGCGGACCTTGCTGAATGACTCACCCCTGTATCGCCTCTCACAGTAGGGTCCCGTGAAGTCATCATAACAGTCACACCTGGACACGACGTCGTTGTACGTTCCTCCGTGTTGGCACACATTCACCTGGAACGAAATCAGTAAGTGATTTCAAAGACGCCACATGACATATTCTAATGGAACTTGCATGCTATTTCTCTTGAAATTTCTCTTGATGGAACATGTAATTCGCCAAGCAGAGTGGTAGTCCTTACAAGTGTCAGGATTTGCAGCTAGTAGGTTGGTATCTTGAATTCGTGTTCATTATGACTCGTGTTTTTTCAACGCTATACCCAGGTCGTTGTTTTTCACCAAACTGATATATGAGACCTGCATGATTTTAGAATTTCCTCTGATGTTCACTTTAGATAACCAGGTGAACAAACGATAGCATTATTTTCAGGAACACTCATTAACGTGTTTTAAATGAATTATGAAGGCTCGAGAGAATCATCTATGATATCTGCTAATCCTTGACCCTTGTGATACAATGAAAACATTTGGGTCTGGTATGTTGATAACATCTATGCTATCCTCTCCTGTCTTTTTACTTTACGGTCTTTTATCTTGACATTCATCTGATCTTTCCTTAGCTTAACCTGATTTACTTTACTTTCACCTGTGGTTTTACTTTACTGTCACCGTTGTTCTCACTCTAGAAGGGCGTTAGGGTAAACTAGTGGTTAAAGCGTTCGCCCGTCTTGCAGAAGACCCGTGTTCGATTCCCCACAGGGGTACAATGTGTGAAGCCAATTTCAGGTGTCCTCCGCTTCGATATTGCTGGAATATTGCCGAAAAGGTCGTAAAACCCAACTTACACACTCTAACTATGCTTTTACACGAATTCTCATTCTCACCTGTATGGTAATTTATTCTGCGGTGTTCTACCATTACTTTCATACATATTCGTACTTCATTTGCACTTGTCATTCTCTAGTATGGTGATCTACCTTCAGTTGTTGGCGATCAATAGCCCATTTTTACATTGTATTGTCTAAAATAGTTTTCTACTTTTAAAGATATATGCTAGCTAGTTTTAACTCTTTTTGTGATACTCTATCTGCTTGTATTTATTGTGTATGTACAACGTTAACCTGTTCTCGTTCACGTTCTCGTCACTATATGGCTGAAATATTGCCCAGGTGACGTTAAATTTTAACTCACTCACTCAATCACTCACCGGTCATTCTCACTTTACCTTCATCTGGTTTTCCACTTTACCTGTGTCTTTGCTCGACGTCCACCATCACTTATTTTTACACTTTACTGTCACGTGTCTTTTCATTCATATGAACAAACAGATTTCAGTTTTACCTTCACATATTTTCACTTTATGCTCACATCTGTTCTCACTTTTATTTTACTTGATTTTTATCTTACTTTCACCTGTTAACTTCACTTTAACTTTAACGGTGTCCTCACTTTTGTTTGCTCGCTTTACCCTCACATTAGCCCGACTGATTTCTCACTTCACTTGAACCCTTGTTCTTATCACTGCTGTTGTTTCACATGTACACATATATAGATATGTTTCCTAGTCTTTCATTCACCTGATGAAGTAGTTAGAATAAATTCCGAAGCGTCGTGTCTCTCAATACAAAAAAGGTGACATCCATAAATTCTCGCCTTTAATTCAGCATTGTTGAAAATATCGCACATGAGGGCATTCCTTCGGCCAGTCTGCCGAGAAGAGTAAAAAGGAAGAGCTCATCAAGCTACTCACCGGCTCCAGAAAGATACACCCACCGGCTGCCTCCAGATCGGAACACGACCCGTTTGATGTCTCAGGTAGTTTGTGACACACCTGTTCGCTCTGGGGGTCATCACAGAGGTTGACGGACATGCAGCTGGAATCTCCAAGACAGCTTGCCAAACATTGACCTTGAGATTCCACAACATCAGAGTTGACAGGAGTCACCGGAAGAATGACACCTTCGGAACATCCGGGCATTGATGTAAAAAGTTCCCAACGGAAGTCACTAGAACAGGAAAAGCCAACAAGCAACACCAAAATACAAACAACATGCACGTGTGGCCCAGCTTGAAATCTGATCTGTGTACATGAGTCCATTATTACTGACACAAACATTATCCTTTCAAGGTTTAGATACTGCTCCCTCATCTGACACTGTAACACAGAGATACTTTGATATTAGTACTGTCAAACTCGTCACAAATACTGCTCCCAAACAAAGAACTGACACTCCTAATATCCTGGCTATGTTATATTGTGGTGTATTGTGTCCAGCTTTTCAACTACGTTTTGTCCCTACGCAGATTTACTCGATAATGGGCCATTATTAGTACTTAATCGAAGTTATTGAACGTAAACGTCAAGACGAATGTGAGAATGGAAAATGTTCTTTGATTGTGACAGATAACATACCTATACATCCATTCATACACTGTTCAATAATCAAAGCCCATTTCCATGTTATCACCCCCAATCACCGAACCAACCAATTTATTGAAGAAATAAATTGATCAGAAATGTGAACAATCAGTGTCTTTGATACTTTAGCCGTTCTCTCTAATTTAATCGTGAGTTCATATTAGTGCTCGAACATAATATTGGATTTTTTCCCGCTTGCCCAGGTGTCCAATCGAAGTTGCAACATTCAAGGCCTCAGTAAAGATTTCAAAACATTTTATGGTATTACTTGTATTACTGCACTTTTGATCTTTAGAGTATTTTAAAGAGGGATTATAATTAATTAATTTTATCAATAGACAAATTTGACTTTGAAATATATAAAATGGTGAACAACATACGTGTTCGCTGTCAATATGGCTGGAGTGCGGACAGTCGAATATCTGATATCACAGATAGGGAACCCTCAAATTCTTCTTGATGAGTATGCAAGCAGAAGTTTATCAGTGAACTGCGTAAGCGAGCTAGAGAAGAACCAACGCAGATGCAGACCATGTAAACGGAGCAGCTGGCAGTAGAGGATGAAGAGAACCAACACGTTCTTCCATCTTTCCCTAGCGTCAGCAATTCATTCTACAGACATCGTCGGAAGACAATACCAGAATTACCTACTACCCTCCGAGACAAGTGATGGACGTCGTTTCCTTCGTCTTCTTTCTCATACCATCTATACATATGAAACTTAATTAAGCAAGAATTAAACCATTCATTTCTGCTGCCGGCATTGAGCTGGAAAATATATCTCTTTCCCGTCTTCTTTCTTCTCCTCCTTGGCAGCTGGTGAGGCCTGAAGTTGACCTAACTCTGACAAAGTTTAAGAAATCTGAAACTAATGAATTACAGTATAAACAAGAATATAATACATACAAATCCTTATTTACAGATGGGTGGTGGCGCGGTGGCATGTGCCACTGTCATTGGATCCCGAACAATATCTTCTCGACTACCAAATAACAGCTCTATTTTCACAGCAGAAGCTAACGCCTTATTAACAGCTCTTAAATATATTAATAAACACCGTAAATATAAACAATATATAGTCTTTTCCGATTCTCATTCGTGTCTTCAGGCTTTTAAAAATCTTTCTTGTAAACATCCACTTTTATTAGAAATTATTGAATTGTATAATGAGCTTGCTACTGGCCAATGCGACATCGTCTTTTGTTGGTTACCCAGCCACGTTGGCATTTCTGGTAACACAATGGCCGATCTTGCTGCCAAGGCAGCACTCAGCAAGTCTGTGACACCACTTTTTCTTCCTTACTCTGATTACAAATCTTGCATTAGAACTTACATCGGTGATCTGATGCAGAAGAAGTCGGATACCCAAGTAGGTATCAATAAATTACATGAAATAAAACCTTATATTGGTTACACTCACTTGGGTTGTCAGTCCAGATTTGAGGAGGTCATTATGCGACGTTGTCGTATTGGCAACACAAGATATACTCATGCATACCTATTGAAAGGTGAGGATCCTCCGTTTTGTATCCCTTGTGATGTGAGAACCACGGTCAAGCATGTCCTGCTTGACTGTGTTGAATTCTCCATCATAAGGGATAAATATTTCAATATCAAAACAGTAAAGGACCTTCTTAATAAAGTTAATTATCGTTTAATCATTGATTTTTTAAAAGAGATAGATTTGTTAACTGAATTTTGATATATGTTTTGTAAATAGATTCCGTTTTTATAATTGGTAGTTCAGATTATCAACTTCGATTGTTAGTGGCTGTACCCTCAAAGGGGGTTGAAGTAGCGAAAAATTATTGTCCTCCTGAGGGTACGTAAGTCCCAAAAACCTTCAAAGTGAAATTTTCTCGTACCAAGTTTTTAAACGTAGTATTTTTGTTCTTTTAAATGTCGGCTAAATTATCCTACAATCGCCAGCGGCTGAAGGGATGGTGTACATCCAGCTAGGTTCCATGCAGGTAGCAAAAGTAATGTAAGTCCCCATGGTTCCTAGATTAGTGATCTAGCTTCAGTTGTTGGCGATCTATAGCCCGTGTTTTATATTGTATTGTCTTCTTTAATTGGAATGTTTTAGCTTTGTTCGCTAGTTTTATATTATATCTGTGATTATCTAGTATTTTTACTGTCCATCGTCGACAGGTTTTAATCTTCAAAATATTTTCACTTTTTATTGTATAAATTGTTTTCGTCACGATATGGCTGAGATATTGCCGATGTGACGTTAAATATTAACTCACTCGCTAATCCAATGCGACATCGTCTTCTGTTGGTTACCCAGCATTGGCATTTCTGGTAACACAATGGCTGATCTTGCTGCTAAGGCAGCACTCAACAAATCTGTGACACCACTTCTTATTCCATACTCTGATTACAAAGCTAGCATTAGAACCTACATCCGTGATCTGATGCAGAAGAAGTGGGACACCCAAGTAGGTATCGATAAATTACATGAAATAAAACCCTATATTGGTTACACCTACTTGGGTTGTCAGTCCAGATTTGACGAGGTCATCATACGACGATGTCGTATTGGCCACACAAGATATACTCATGAATACCTATTGAATGTGAGGATCCTCCGTTTTGTATCCCTTGTGATGAAAGAATCACTGTCAAGCATGTCCTGCTTGACTGTGTTGAATATTCCATCACAAGGGATATCTATTTCAAATCACGAACCATTTCAATGTCAAATATGTTCTCGTCACGATATGGCTGAAATATTGCCGATGTGACGTTAAATATGAACTCACTCACTCAAAAATAGTTTTCACACTTCTTATTCTATGTGTGGTCATTACAAACTGCCAAATTGGGTATTTGTTTGATAAAGACACGTATAAACCAGAACAGTTGTTACATTCACTGTGAAAATGGTCACATAACAAGAATGAACTTTTACAAATTAGTCTAAGTGGTTTGTATCAGTTACCAAAGTAACCAGCAGGTTGGTATTGCACAATAAAAGACAACACTGTGTGATTTACCTATACGCACCTACTTCACTCTTGTTAGAAAGTATTGATAAATCGAAAACGTATCTACGTCCTGGTGCTAATAAAGCGGCCGGAAGTAAAGGATCTATAACGATTTTCTATTTTTGAGCAGGAAGTGAGAAATAGATATTCGTCCATGTTATGAGTCACAGAATTTCCTCTTGCAGGAAGGAATTTCGTTCCTTGTGTTAAAGAACTGAATTTTGTAACCTTTTACAGTACTACCCCAAACGACATACATATACGAAGGAGTATTTCCATTCCCTGGACAATATGACGGGTACAGTGTATGTGTGTGTGCGTGTGCGTGCGTGTGTGCGTGCGTGCGTGTGCCCTATAAGTCGGCTGACTGACCATGCCAAGTCCTGGGTTTTTGACTCTGACATTTCACATGTCGTTGGCTTGTGTGTTTTCATTTATGTTATGTGTGCATTTCCCCCAAAATAAGATATCAAATCCTGCAGCACGAATCATCCTAAATGCCAGTCTTGGCAAAATTATATTTTCAAAATGATGTCCAGTGTTTTGGAACTTTTCCTGTTAATCATATTCCAACTGAGGCAGGCGACACATTGGTGACAGAAACTTGTGACACAGCAAACACCCATTGAAAACCTAATCTTTAGCTAAACATCATACCAATCGACACGTATGCTTTCATCTATCTGTAACGAATTATGAATACGGGGTACTCATGAAAAGCAACCTCCCCATGGTTATAGCTGAGGAACTCCTATTGCTCTACCCCCGTGTTCACTCATTTGGCCAATCTGCCGTGGGTAGTGTCCATGCCACTTGGACCCCCGCTTCACCTAGACAGGTGGTAAAATGGGCCCGGTTGTATCAATCGACACGCCAAGCCCCCAGCTCCTTCTCTGTCATGTTGTACAAATCGATGAAAAATGTCAATCTCTGCACACCGAACACTTAACACCAGCATCGTGAACAACCACGACCGACAGTTTGCTGGTACAACGGAAATTAATATTGCATAGAAGATGAACGACCAAGGTGTAACATGTGTTAAACCCTACAAAACAACACCTATCTGTTTCCTTTTTCAATTTCAAAAGGGCGAAAATCAATAAACCTAAATGTCGATACTGATATTCCAAATCCTAAGATGCTTCTTATGCTGAATGTACGGTCATGAGGTGACGTGATGCACATTGTCTGGTGTGTGTGCTCACTGTGGTGAGAAGACACATTCAACAATAGCTTTTGACAGTAAATTAAAAATAATTTGCAACCTTTCGCAGCTGATCACCCAATAATAGGATTTGGAAACAAGTTTAGCGGATGTGACACAGCTTGTCCATAGCTCAGAACGTAAATAAACCTATACATTAGGTTATGGGGTCGGGGTTGGGGTTGGGGTTGGGGTTGGGGTTAGGGTTAGGGTTAGGGGTTGGGGTTGTGGTTTAGGGTTTAGGGTTGGGGTTCAGGGTTTAGGGTTGGGGTTCAGGGTTCAGGGTTAGGGTTAGCTTAGGATTTTACAAATACCGTCTGAGAATAAAACACAACTAAAGTAAGCAAATCATCTACAAGCTTTAAAATGCTTGGTTTGGGTCAAATCCGATTCTGCTCACATATTCTTATCTGCAATGCCTATTTTAACTTAAGAATCACCTCCTGGAAAACAATCCAATCAGAGTCATTGCATGACCAGGACTCATCTTGTCGGTCAACCACAAAGTCTCAGCAAAACGTTAAAATAAAATATACCTTAGCCAGATTTTTTCACAATATGTGGCAGAGTCCTAAATGGGTACATTCTAGGGCACATAAAACAGTGAAATTGTAGAGGAATAGATCTGATTTCAATGCATCACAGCTTGATTTTACACCATCATCATTCTGTTTGCAGGAAACATACTTAAAATCCATTGAAATCCATTGCTATATTTACTAATAATCTCCGAGCCTTAACAGTGTGACATACTTTACACGTTGCTTTCACAGTATGTCGTCTCTGTATTCCACCTTCTTCAAGCCTTCAGAAGACAGATCTTCCATGACTACTTCCCGATAACTCTGCATTATTACGTATGACTTAAATTGCCACAAGCCTTCTGTGGTGGTACCCGTGTGAAGGTCCGGGTTAGAATATTGATCTTCAGTAACCCATGCTTGTCGCAAGAGGCGACTAACGGGATCGGCTGGTCAGGCTCCTAACTTGGTTGACACATGTCATCGGTTCCCAATTGCGCAGATCGTTGCTCATGCTGTTGGTCACTGGATTGTCTGGTCCAGGCTCGATTATTTTCAGACCACCGCCATATAGCTGGAATATTGCGGAGTGCGGCGTAAAACTAAACTCACTCACTCACTCCGTGGTGGTACAACAAAAGCTAAAGGTAAAATACAGGAGTTCTTTCAGGTAATGATTTATGCAGATATAAAGATGGTTGAAACACACATGTCCATTCTGGCACAGGAACCTATTCAGCTCTCAATGTATCAGTTAATGACTCAAATCTACTGAATAAATTGGAACGATCAGTCCACGACGACCTGTGATAAAGTGAATATTTTCCTACAATATTTAAACATGAGAATCCATCTGATGTTCCCCCATCCCTAAGATGGAATATTAGAAAAGCTACCTAGACGTTACATGTAACGCTGTCTTGTAACAGACTTAATCCTTAAGTCTTTTGCAAACGAGGACTGCAAACAAGCTAGGAAAGGCAAGGAAAAAAGGCTGACCTATATTTCTGTTGCCAAAAAGACTTGGCGAAAATTCTTCCTCATTAATTTATATAACCCCAAATTCCAAATATATCAAAAACATATCAAGAAAATAACAATATTAACTTCAATTGAGATATTGGGGAAAATACTTAGAGAATAACCAACCTTTATGTTTTCGTTTTTAAATCTCGGAATGTGTGAGTACAGGACGTTGTAATTATCAATGAAACGGCAAAAGTTGTCAATGAACTTGGATCATGAAAAGTATTCCGTCAACCAATCATAATCAACGTTGAGAATCACTGAAAAACACATGTGCGATTATCACAACAATAATCTCCTGTGTATACATGTATACGGATAATAACATAAAACATTCTCTTTTTATGAGCTCCATACTGCTAATCATGTTTGGAGACCCTTTTAAATATTTGTGATGAAATTTTCGTTGCGTTAATTGTCCTAATAACTCGACCTGGACTCATACCATTCCTTTAAATTATCGCCCACTTTCACTAACAAGCTAGTGGAAAACCATGGAAAGCATGTGTAATAATCGATGAATTCTTTAGCATATTATCGAATCGCAACTGCAACGACGTCTAAATTCACAAATGTCGATACATTTTTAAAGAACCGGATTTTTTTTGGCAGAAGATATAGACCGTATAAAGACCCAAAACTAATTTTAGACGAAAAGCTGCAAAAAGAGGAACATTTTTTCATATATTGACAAATTCATTATTTCAATCTGTGCGACGTTTCGGTGTTCGCTCGTCATGCCGAAGACCTGGGTTCGATTTCCCACATGGGTACAATGTGTGAAGCCCATTTCTGGCGTCCCCCCCGCCGTGATATTGCTTTAATATTGCTAAAAGCGGCGTAAAACCAAACTAACTCACTCATGTGGGACACAAGTACTTAACGCATTCGTTATGTTGCAAGGAGATTGAGAATATACACATGAATGCACCCCATACCATAGGTTTTTTGCACTGACGTTCTGTATTTCCTGTGCGTTTTAATTTACTTCCACTGGGTCGATGTTCCAGTTGAACGCCCCAGAATTTCAACGTAAGATCAATAGCATTTATCAATTATGCAGCGGCAACAACAAAGGAAATGCTTGGGCTGACAGATAGACACCCCAAGTGCTGTGATTGTGTAGGAATAATGCTGCGTAAAACCATATAGGGTTGTCCGTCAATGATTTGTGGGAACATTCTCCTGAAAGTCCAGGTTGAAAACCGGAGATCATTTGACCGGGGTCGCATGAGATCAACACTTTTATTTTATGTCTCACAGGTTCAGGATCAGATATTGGGTTCGACAGTCTACAGAAATATACACCACGAGTTAATTATTTACAGCGAATGACATTCTTACATAAACATCACTAAATTACATTCACACGCGCTTAATTGTATGTACATGCATGTTGGCGCTGTCCGTACATCTAATACAGATGTATACATGTGATAGATATACACAGAAACAAAAACAAGAAAACAATATTTGTCCATGACTAATGTTGAAATGAATATTATTACCAAACGGTTGAACCTAGAAGCAATAAGATAGAAACTGAATTGTAATACCAAGATTGATCGCCTACGTTTTTCATGAAAAGAACTCGAATGAGCGATAATTGAATTAACAATTATTTCAGGTCCTGTCCAAACCATCCAGATTCCCAGATAACAATAAGTACAGACCGACCTTTGTCTCACTGTGTATGAGTCACACAGACATACATGTACCATCAATATGTGAAGACCATAGTGTGTTGTAGAAGGGCAGTGTACCAAGTGTTCCCAAGTATTCGGAACATGACCAGTGTCTTATTTGAATGACAGCTTTAGAACCTCATACGGTCTGCTACCAAAGCACCTTAACCTCTGTTTTCACAAAAGATACCTTTTCCAGAAGGTCCAAGTCATCTATCCATTGTGCCACGTTCGACGCCGATGCACTGGTATCGAACTTCTTGTGGAGATTTGTAAGAGGGCAGTCTGTCCCATACCACCACCCTGCCCCACCACTTACAGCACATCCCGAGGGGTCGGGGTGGTCCCAAGTGGCGAACCTTTGACCATTGATGTGCTTGCTTGCTAATTCGTACTCAAATCCATTCCCCGTTGCTTTAGAAGGATGCTTATAGTTACCAGTGTATGTGAGAGTGTACCCACTGGCTTCATCGCCAATCTTGAAATTAGTGTAGTAGTATTGTCCACTTAATGAACCAGTTCCACGCACGTATATATCGAAGGTTGTTGTACGTTGGTTTGAGATGAAGTGTAGAGCTTCAAGTCCGAGCCATCTGTTGCATGGCGTGGTCCATCCAGCCTTGTATTCAGCCCATGTCTTGTTGTAGTCGTTCTGGCAGCCAGATCCTCGTTCTTCGACCACCGTCCACCCTCCGAAGCCAAGTAAACATTGCACCTCGTACTCCCTCGGAGCGTTAAGAGGCTGGATACTGATGATTCGATAGTTGGACGTTCCCCCTCTCATTCCATCGTTGAAGGCCTCAGAACAGTCTGAAATACAGAAACTACAATAGATCCAAACTTGTTGATCTAAACGTGATATTTAACTAAACCTTAACTAAACTTAAGTGATAAATACGAAGGTTAACACTGAACATAGATTAACTAGTAGAACTCTTTTAAGATGAAGAGGATTAGATCATCTTCTGGGATGATCTTTGCTCACCTTAGTTACTGACAGGAATCAGCATTACTGGTAGTGATGCATAAAACACCTACAGATTTGTAGGCGGGATCAGATGTGCCTAATTGTATCATATCATCTCTATGGACCACCGATTTGACTGTTCAGACATTACATTTGGGTCGATTGTTTTATATCGGGATGTGAAGGTTGAGATTGTGGAAATAGGGAGATATTCCATGAAGAAAAAAGGTGTTTGCAGTTTAGCAGTAGAAAGAAATGTGTCGTATCGGGCAAAAAAATAAGAACTATTCGCCCGGACACAGGACATAAACGCTGAGACTCGTGATACCTTTCTTAGAGATGACAGTTGGAACCGCGTGTACTTCTGGCTAGCAATTCTCGAAAATTCGTTGACTTACGAACTTCTTAAGTCCATTCTTAACACATTGGCTCCGATCAAAGTTAAGAATTCTTAGGGCTCCGAACGTTTCGAGAATAAGAGCCCAGGACCTTGCTGAATGACTCACCTCTGTACCGCCTCTCACAGTAGGGTCCCGTGAAGTCATCATAACAGTCACACCTGGACACGGCGTCGTTGTACGTTCCTCCATGTTGGCACACATTCACCTGGAACCAAATCAGTGAAAGATTTCACTTCTTTACGAAATCAGGTGATGAAGATATATCTGATGTGTTTACACTGTAGGTGATGTAGATAATTTGGATGTGTTTACACTGTACGTGATGTAGATAATTTGGATGTGTTTACACTGTACGTGATGTAGATAATTTGGATGTGTTTACACTGTAGGTGATGTAGATAATTTGGATGTGTTTACACTGTAGGTGATGTAGATAATTTGGATGTGTTTACACTGTAGGTGATGTAGATAATTTGGATGTGTTTACACTGTACGTGATGTAGATAATTTGGATGTGTTTACACTGTAGGTGATGTAGATAATTTGGATGTGTTTACACTGTACGTGATGTAGATAATTTGGATGTGATTACACTGTGTAGGTGATGTAGATACTGTTTGGATGTAGATAATTTACACTGTAGGTGATGTAGATAATTTGGATGTGATGTGTTTACACTGTAGGTGATGTAGATAATTTGAATGTGTTTACACTGTAGGTGATGTAGATAATTTGGATGTGTTTACACTGTAGGTGATGTTGATAATTTGGATGTGTTTACACTGTAGGTGATGTAGATAATTTGGATGTGCTTACACTGTAGGTGATGTAGATAATTTGGATGTGTTTACACTGTAGGTGATGTAGATAATTTGGATGTGCTTACACTGTAGGTGATGTAGATAATTTGGATGTGTTTACACTGTAGGTGATGTTGATAATTTGGATGTGTTTACACTGTAGGTGATGTAGATAATTTGGATGTGTTTACACTGTAGGTGATGTAGATAATTTGGATGTGTTTACACTGTAGGTGATGTAGATAATTTGGATGTGTTTACACTGTAGGTGATGTAGATAATTTGGATGTGCTTACACTGTAGGTAGGTGATATGTCAGACCCAGACCTCCGCCTACACCGCCACCAAGGACGTCATTCGTGAGAGGAATGTCAGCGCTCAGGGATTACGTCACGACAATCAAAGACTGGGACGATATATCCGACCTAGTATGTGGCAGAGGGAACTTTGTGTTGTATTATAATATACTGAGTCAAAAAAGAAACTTCACAAATGTAATTTGAAAAATAATGAATAATTTTTCTCTGATGATACATCTATGTATCCGAAATGGGATCCCTATCTTTCGACTCTAGAAAAACGTTAGCAAAACCCACTCAAACCCATCCATTCGTCGTGCAAATGACGTTAGTGCCAAATCAGGTTTTGCACGTGCAGTCGACTGACTGACTGACTGAGTTTAGTTTTACGCCGCTTTTAGCAATATTCCAGCAATATCACGGCGGGGACGTGCAGTCGATCACGTGATCCTCGCATCGAAGTTTTCTTCATATGCACGTGTTTGCATTGGCCTCAAGAATTGAAAAAACACTTTTAAACCACAGTTCTAACGGTACTTGAAATGCCACGATTGTCAAATGTGCAACGTGAACGTGCCGTTGGCATGTTGCAAGCGGAAAGATCAGTTATTGATGTCGCAAGAGCAATGGGATGCAGCCGTCGTACAGTGTATGACTTGCGAGGTCGTCTACAACAAACTGGCACCACTTCTAATCCCCAAGGTCGGGTCGTCCACGTGTGACGTCACGAGCAGAAGGCCGTCAAATTGTCCTACGTCACCTACGTGACAGATTTCTGCCGGCTTCACGAACCAGGGCTGAGATGTTTAGAGGTCGACTGTCCTCACAGACCATTCGAAATCGGTTGCGGGCTGCCAATCTCCATTCTCGACGTCCATATCGTGGGCCAATATTGACGCCGTTTCATCAACGTCAACGTCTGCTGTGGGTCCAACGTCACCTCCGATGGACCCAGAGAGACTGGAATCGAGTCGTCTTTAGCGATGAATCCAGGTTTACCCTCAGATTCGCGGACGGCAGGCATAGAGTCTGGAGACGACGTCGTGAACGTTATGCCCAATGTTCTGTACAGGAAGTCGACAGATTCGGGGGCGGAAGTTGCATGGTGTGCGGTGCTTTCTGTGGGAACAACCGTTCCCGACTTCTGGTCATCCGTGGAAACCTCACAGCTGCTGCTTACCGCGACCAGGTGCTCACCCCTTAAATCGTTCCTTTCATGGCGGCTCATGGCCCAGGTCTCCAGTTCCAGCATGATAATGCTCGGCCGCATACCGCGATGTTGACACGATATTTCCTTCAAAACACTGGAATCAACGTCATGGACTGGCCATCGAGGTCCCCTGACCTTAATCCAATAGAGCACGTTTGGGATGCACTTGGGAGAAGGCTTCGTGGTCTTAGGGACCAACCTCAGAATTTGCAGGAACTTGGCGTTGCCTTGCAAGAGCAATGGCGCAGAATCCCCGACCACGTGTTCACAAGCATCAGGTAGTCGATGAGGAGACGGTGTTTGGCAGTGGTGAATGCGCGGGGCGGCCATACACGATATTGAACTAAGAAATTTCGCATTTTATTCTTGTGACTTGACATTCTGTAGACCCATGTTTTGGAACGGCGGTGTAGCCTAATGGAACTGATTATGGCACTGTCAGTGTATCGAGTACATCACACAGATCTCAGCAATGAAATAATAACAATTTAACCATCTTACCATCTCTTGTTCGTTTATAGTGCCCAGAAGAAAGAATGTGAAGTTTCTTTTTGAATTATAATATAAATTATGTTGTGTTTATCAATATAAATGCAAATGTATATAGTTTATGAATAAACATTCCCTAGTATGGTAATCAGTCTTCAGTTGGTGGTGATGTATAGGCCGTTTTTATTTTGTACTGTTGTCTGTAGTGATTTGTTTTATAACAGCGTACTGTTTTAAATTTAGAGCTGTGATGCTCCAATATTTCACTGTCCTTCGGTGACAGGTTTTTACGTTGAAAATTTATTGATGTTAATATTGATATGCATGAAATTGTGCTCGTCACGATATGGCTTCAATATTGCCGATGTGACGCTAAATATTAACTCACACACTATGAATAAACACGTGAATCTTTTAAAGGGTTTTGTGATATTTTGATGAGATATACAATCACATTACATAAACTAAATCTAACCACTGTGGGTGACATAGAGTGGGTGAATTTACACATAGATATAGTTTACACTGGGTGAATTACATGTGACTTCAATTTACACTGTAGGTGAGTGGATAAAATTCGTTTACACTGTAGGTTATGTACATTTCATGTGACTTCGTGATATTTTAATATTCACAAGCGTTTTACCTCCATATGTATTCTCATTTTAACCTTAGATAACCAGGGAGACGGTCGATAACATTATTTTCTGGAACACTCATTGAATTTAACGTGCTTCATATGAATTACGAATGCTTGGGAGAAACTGACCGAAGAATTAATCTATAACATCATTTAAACCTTTACACTCGCTAAACTAAGAATACATCTGGGTCAGGTAAGTTGTTGATATCTATGCCATCCACTCCTGTCTTGTCACTTTTCCGTCTTTTAACGTTACATCCATCTGTGTTCCCACCTAACGTTCACATATGTATTCTCAGCTTGACTTCAACTGTTTTATCACAATCCATTCATCTGACTTCTCATTTAAACATCATTTGTATTCTCACTCTGCCCTCTGTTTGCTCGATATATCCTTCCCTGTATTCTCAAGTTACTTCCAACTGTTTTGCAATTTACCTCACTTGTCTTTACTTCACCTTCATGTGTCTGCTTACCTTCACCTTACCCCTTGTTCACTCGCTTTACGTCCCCTGTATCCTCACTTCACATTAGCCAGACTATTTTCTCGCTTTACCTAAACACTTGTTCTCACTTTACTTTCTCGTGTGCAAATTGGTATATTTAAAATACCCATTCTATTGAAAATGATTTAATACTGAGAACATCAGTGAATAAACCATTTCTATGAAGGATGAAATATATTTCAAAAACGAAAAGAATGGTTAAAAAATCGCACATTAGGACTTTCCTCTGTGGGTGGAAGTGTGTGGGGAGACATTCTTCAAGCTACTTACCGGCTCCAGAAAGACACAACCAGCGGCTGCCTCCAGATCAGAACACGACCCGTTTGATGTGTCAGGTAGTTTGTGACACACCTGTCCACTCTGGGGATCATCACAGAGGTTGACGGACATACAGCTGGAATCTCCAAGACAGCTTGCCAAACACTGACCTTGAGATTCCACAACATCAGAGTTGACAGGAGTCACTGGAAGAATGACACCTTCGGAACATCCGGGCATTGATGTGAAAAGGTCCTCACGGAACTCACTCGAACAGGAAAAGTCAACAAGCAAAACCAAAATAACAGGCACATACGGACCAGCTTGAAATCTGATCTGTGCAAATGATTCCATCATTACTGACACAACCTTTTTCCTTTCAACGTTTGACGTCTTCCTTCGCTACTGCGTGTGCAATCTGGGTGATCATGAACAAAAGTTAAGAATCCGTGACTGAGATACTATTAATAACATCCAGCTCGTCACAATCGTTGCTCCGTCACAGAACGGACACTCTTATTAAGTTGGGTTTAACTTCTCGTGGTGTATTTTCTTATGCGTGTCAACTACCACCAGTCGTTACGCAGATTTACTCGATAATAGGTCACTGTAAAGTACTTCGTCGATATTATTGAACGTGAATGTCCAAACGAATGTCTGCATTGAAAATGTGCTTTATATTGATCCAGCATTGTCATTGGTATCATACCAAACACCCATGCAACACTCATATACTGATCAATAATCGAAACCCATTTCCTTTTCAACCCAACCACCAGTTAAAACAACGCTGATCACAAATGGGACCAATCAGTGTCAATGGTGGTTACAGCAGTGACGTCATATTGCCAAGATTTCAAAGGACATCATGCGGCTCCTCCCCAGAGGTTATTGATCAGCGTTACAACATTCAAAGCTTTAGTGGTGCTTTCAGAAAGTCCTATAGGTGACATGTTGAAGTGATTTCCTAATTTGACTCTTCAGTATAACATGATTTCCCATACAATTCTATATTTTGTTTTGTACGAGGAGTCTCATTCTGTGTTCTCTTTCAAGCTAACACTTGGTTTTGAACAGTATTGGGCTTGTTTGAGTGCCATTCTAGAAGTTGGTTTGTACCGGTATAGGGATGACAAGACGTTATGGAAGTTCAACTTCTTTATTTTGACAATAGCGACGTTTCGGTATAGATTCCTATACCGTTTTCAAGCATATGGGGGAATGAAGGGGTACACCAGTTTATATACAAGATAAAGAGATAACAATAACAAGGGTGGAAAACAAAGCATCAAAGAAAGTTACATTATGAGCTTCAATAGCATGATGATGAGCTAAGATAACATAAATGAGAGGAGTGGGATTACCATGACAATTAGTGAATGTAAGTCAATTAGGCTTTGTTTTTCCACCTTTTTTTATTGTTATCTCTTTAACTTTTCTTGTATATAAACTGGTGTACCTGTTCATTCCCCCATATGCTTGAAAACGGTATCCATGGTTCCTAGTATGGTGATCTACCTTCAGTTGTTGGCGATCTATAGCCCGTGTTTTATATTGTATTGTCTTCTTTTGTTAAAATGTTTTAGTTTTACATACTAGTTTTATATTTACATCTGTGGTACTCTAGTGTTTTTACTGTCCCTCGTCGACAGGTTTTACTCTTCAAAATGTTTTCATTGTATGAATCGTTTTCGTCACGATATGGCTGAGATGTTGCCGGTGTGATGTTAAATATTAACTCACTCACTCACTCACTTGAAAACAGTATAAGAATCTATACCGAAACGTCGCCATTGTTAAAATAAAGAAGTTGATCATCCATAAAGTCTTGCCATCCCCAGTATTTGGCTGACACTTTATCTTCAACACCAACCATTTTGGCACAGTTTGAATAAGATCATTCGCTTTGTCACCACACTCAGTGGCATCGCACTCAGTGGTGACGATATTTGAGGTCTGATGTTTTGGTGTTTGTTTGCGGAGAAGATTAGGACATGTGGACGAAGAAATGACATCATGAACGCCAATGTATTTTCACTCAATTTAAGTCAGTATCCGAATTTACAGAGAAAATTGAGTGAGTGAGTGAGTTAATAGCCATAGTGACGAGAAACATTTGGTTTAACTATCAGAAATATCTGTCTCAAAGGACAGTAAAACATTAGCAAGTTATCACAATTTGAATCTAAAAACTAACCATTTCAATTGATAAAAGACTTTATTCAACACGAAGATCAATATTACATGTACTACCAATAAAATACGAGCTATATACCACCAGTCACCAAAGCCAGACCAGCTTACTGGGGATCATGGGGATTTACAGTACTTTGGCTTCCTGCATGAACCTCAGCAGGATTTAAACCATAACTTTGACAACTGGCAGTTGTAGGCAAGCTAGCCATAAATTAAAACATGTCAATATATTTGAGCATAACATACTGGTTTTCTGCAAAGTACCACAATACTATTTAGACTAACATGCTATCATCAAAGGACAATCTTTTTACAATACTTTAACCCCATTAAATAACACTGCTATAATAATATGAGTTATCAATTGCGTCAACCATAGTTAAAATACATTCATTCAAAAGCTATTGTACAATCCTATTTCTTTTAAAAAACTTATAATTAAATGAGAATTTACTTTGAAGCAAATAGTGCTTAACTGTGATTCTCTCATCACAAGGGATACAGAATGGAGGATCCTCTCCCTTCAACAAATACTCATGAGTAAAACGAGTATGACCAATTCGACATCGTCTCATTATCATGTCTGGATTGACATCCTAAGTAGGTATATCCTTAGGTTTGTTTAATTTCCTGAAGTTTGTTTAAACCTACTTGGGCGTTCCACTGTGTTTGCATTAAATGTTTCATATACTTTTTTATATAAGGTTTAAACGAAGAATATGGTATCAAGAGTAGAAAAACAGACTTTACAAGAGCTGCTTTAGCTGCAGCATCTGCTTTTGTATTGCCAACTATGCCGACATGACTCGGTAACCAACAAAAAACGATGTCAAACTGGGCAGTTGAAAGATCATTATCTAACTCTAAAATATAAAGAACATGTATCAAGACAGCGGCACTTGAAACCTTGCCACCATCCTTGCCACCATCCTTAAATACAGAAAGATGAGAATCATATTTCATTCTCAATTGTTGATATTCTTGTTTATAAACCAATCGATTTGTGTCTGATGTTTTAAATTGAGTAAGAGTTTGGCCTGATCAACTGCCAAGGAGGAGTAGGTAACAGCTGAAATGGCGCAATTATATCAAGGTCAATATTAGCAGCTGAAATGTGTAGTTTGAGCCGTATACCGAGCGGAGGAACTAGTTTAGTATTTTCTGAAATAGTGCTTCCTACTGTGGGTTAAAAACTGATTCATAAGCGGGGTTTGAGGGATTTGAACGTAATTTAGTAATATACTGAAGAGATAATTTGGTACGGCGCAGTTAGAGAGAAGGTTCATCAGCTGCAGTTTCCACGTACAGACTGTCACTTGGAGAGGTGCTGAAAGCTCCTATACAGAGTCTCAGGCCTTGATGATGTATTGGATCTAATATTTCTAAATTACTTTTACATGCTCAACCATATATGATGGAGCCATAATCCAGCTTCGAGCGAATGAGGGACCTGTATAAGTGAAGGAGAGTAGACTGATCCCCTTCCCATTGAAAGATAACACCCAAGAACTTGGCTTCGTCTGCTACCTTAATGGGAGTACCAGCAAGATATAACTGGGGGTCACTATGCGGTTTATATTTCCGGCAGAAATGAATGCAAATCGTTTTAGACTTTGAGAACTTAAAACCATTGTTCATCGACCAAGCAGCTATCTTATTGAGACAGAGTAGCAACTGTCTCTCAATAGTCCGCATATGTTTTCCTCGACATGACACATTAAAATCATCCACAAACAAAGACCCGTCAACAGAGTCATTTAAAACTTTCGATGAGCTATCAATTTTTATGCTAAACAACGTTACCAATAATATGGTACCTTGTGGAACACCCTGATCTTGATCATAAATGTCTGACAAAATGGATCCCACACGTACCTGGAAATGTCTATTTGTTAAAAACTGTGATATGAAATTAGGCATATGGCCTCTCAATCCCATTTCATGGAGGTCCTTTAAAATTCCATATTTCCAGGTGGTATCATAAGCTTTTTCTAAGTCGAAAAAAATCGATACGGCATGTTGTTTATTGACTATAGCGTTTTTCACAAAGGTCTCCAATCTAACCAAATGGTCAACAGTACTTCTATTATTCCTAAAACCACATTGGATAATTGTGATAAAATTGTTTGTTTCTAAGTACCATATCAGTCGGTTATTGACCATCCTTTCCATGGTCTTACAAACACAGCTAGTAAGAAATATAGGCCTATAATTAGCAGGGTCTGTATGATCCCGACCAGGTTTGGGTATCGGAATGACGACAGCGTTCCGCCATGATGAAGGGAAATTGCCACTAGTCCATATATTGTCAAAAATACTTAACAATACTTCAATACATGTGTCAGGTAAATGTTTTAATAGCTGATAATGAATGTTATCAGCCCCTGTAACTGTGTCATGTGCTTGCCCTAACGCAGTGTGCAATTCATGTAATGAGAAAATGTCATTATAGTTCTCCCCATTATCAGAATTAAAATTAAGTTTCTTCTTTTCTTCTTGGGCCTTACATTTCTGAAATTGTGGAGTATAATTTGAAGAGGAGGAATGTTTAGCTAATGATTCTCCAAGTTTGTTTGCTATGTCAGATGTATCTGTGATTGATGTGTTACCCTCCTTTAGATGTTGAACACTTGGTCGAGAACCTTTACCTTTCATTTTTGGACATGGGTGTTCTGGAATTGATTTTAGACACGTACTTTTGCCAAGACTGGCGTTTAGATTGCTTGAAGGTGCGACGGGCCTTAGCATTTGATATCTTGAATCTATTTAAATTATAGACCGTGGGGTGATTTCGCAAATACTTTTCTGTCTTTTTTCCTTGCTTTTCTAGCTTGTTTGCAGTCGTCAGTATACCATGGTTTTCGTATATGTGGATTTGTAGAGGATTTAGGATTGCAACTTCCTTCAATTTGTCCGAAGAGATCTGGATACGGTCACAAACACCCAAAATCAATTCAGGTGTTAATGTAGATTTACATAATACCTCAAACAAAGACCAATTGGACTTTGTAAAATTATATGTTTTTGAAGGTTGAACATCATCAGGGTGAACTGGTGTTAGTATAGTTGGAAAATTGTCGCTTCCACAGAGGTCACTATCAATTGACCATTCAAATTCATTGAGCAAATATGAATCAATAAGGGACAAATCAAGTGAGGAGTATGTGCCAGTAGCAGGGTGTAAATAAGTGTGGGAATCATCATTTGAAATACATAAATCAGTATTCGTGATAAAATCCTCAAGAACTTTGCCCTTAGTGTTCGTGTGTGTACCGCCCCAAAGCGGATTGTGACCATTTAGATCACCCATGATGATACAT